ATTGCAGGTAGAGAACTTCTGTATTTCACTACATATAAATAACGCAACTCGTGAAAAAAAAAAAAAACTGTGGGCGGTTGAAGTACCTGGGATGAACGAATTCTTCTTCAGGCATACAAAAATCATAGAAATTAAACGTTGAAATTCAAGATCCCTTTGTTGGTTCACTTCTGTGCGTGACAAAGCACCCGAAAGTAGCCCAAGTGACAGTGTATTTCAGCAGCTTCGGGCACTGGCAACAGCATGAATAGTTTTCCTGAGAGCTGTTTCGAAGCAAGCTGATGGCGGATTTGATTCCATGATTGGCATCATTTACGCCACTTTTAAAAGAATCAGTGAATCGTAGAGTGGATTGAATTCCTAGTGTTCTGAAAAATCGAGCCTCATTCAAAAAGTATCTTAGGCTGCCAGCAAAATAAAACCTCATTTGTTTTTTGGCTTTTTTAGGTGCGCCATACATTTATGAGATGATTCTGGGTTCACGTTTTCGGGTCTCACCTTCCTCGTTTTTCCAAACAAACAGTGCCGCTGCTGGTGTGCTGTACAGAACGATTGCCGAGAAATGTGGACTCTGTGAAAGTGGATATTTGCGGACATTGGGAAAAGCAAACACAGGTGCTGGAGCGTCAGGAAAAGATGTTAAAGAGCGCCCAGGAAACGAAAAAGAACTGGATAAGAAGCGAAAATGTGAAACGGTAATGAGGGTTTATTAATAAGTAAGAGGAAAGAAAGCCAGTGGTATGGGTATTTCGGCCCACAATTCAGTCATTGGTGTTGCGTGGGAATTTGGATCAGGTGCTAGATGTTCCGGAAAAAGAAAAGTTTTAGACTTTTGTTATTTTTTCGATCAGTGTGTTCTGAAATTTGAGCAGCAGTTCGTCCTAAACTTTAGAAATTAGCTGTGAGTGATTCAGGGATGCGGAGTACTTCTGGAGAAGTAAAGATTCAGCAAGAAATTGGAATTTTTGCTAAACAATAATAAATCAGTAGTCAAGAAAGGAGTCGATAGCAAAACGTAAAACCTCCTTCGTATGAAACAGGAACATGCGAAAGTAGCCTAAGCGGTTAGCGCATTGCCAGCAGTAATTGTGGGTCGTAACGCTATGGATTCCTTCTTCCCGTGCTTGCTCTCGATTCCTTCTCGAACAGTTTTGACTCACTGGCCAACCGGTGG